TATGGATCCCTGGGAAATGTCACAAGCAATGATTTCAAGGAAAGTGCAAGTATTATTGGCTTGTTTCCAATTTTTTAGACAGCAAATAAACCATTTTAATTGTTTATCTTTTATACGATAATTAGTAAGTTTGTATAGAAGGATCTTGTGATCCACTGTATTGAAATACATTCGACATATCGATAAATACTCCAAGCGTATATTGATTTTTTCCAAACTAATTCAAGATTTCTTTAACTAACTTTATTACGGCATGTTCAGTTGAATGGTTTTCTTTTTATTCTTATTGGATACTAAAATGGATAAAGTATTTTTGAGAAGCATAGAAGTATAGAGATAGGCCTATAGTTTGATAAAGTAGAGTTATCTCCACTTTTAAATATTGGAACTACGCTGGTTTCTTAAATTTTTCAAAAAGGTTTATATAACCTTTGTATTTTTTTTCATTTTTGTAATTTTTTTAAAAAAAAAGTTATCGTAGAGTTTTTGTGCTTAGGATAAACTCAACTTTTTAACGAGAGATTAAAGATATACAGTTGGGGATTTGTTGAATAATATCATAAACTTCTTTAACTACCTGAGAGCTTATGTCATCAAAACCCAGACTCTTTTTTGAATGTATTGTTTTAAAAGCATTTCAAAGCTCATCAGAAGGTAAGTCAAACTCGTCCGTTACAAAGTTCACTTCTTTTAAATATGATTTCAATATTTTTTTACTTTGAGTTATTTTATTAGCTAGTATCATTCCCATGTTTACAAAATAATTGAAAACGTCCCATGTTTTTTGTTATTGTCAATGTTATTTTGAAAAAAGATATAAAAAAAATTTTTTTTAGCTTGTTTTTTAAACTTTTCAAAAAGGTTTTTATAACTTTTTAAATCGATTAATCATTGATAATAATATTAACAATAAATATAACAATAAAAATTAAGAATAAAAAATGCGGAAACTCGAAGAAGTCCATTAGGTCTTGTCGTAGAGAACCGCTAGAATCAAAACGCTTTAAATGAATTTATTTTTATTGATTTTTTGTAAATGTTTATTCGCTTTTAAATTGGATCTGTTTTGATAAATAGTTATATAAACCGTTGCAAAGAATAGTTAAAAATAATTAATATACTTCAGTATATTTATTGATGTGTTTGATGACGTCATAGTGTGTTAGTGATGTTAATATAAATCGAATAGATTAAAAAAAGAAATAATTGAATTGAACATTTCTTGCATTAAAATTGTAGAAAATAAAATCAGAGTGAGGTGTTCTTGTTGATAATTAGCTCTTGTTCTAATATAGTTGTTTTTTTTAAGTATATATTGTGTTTGCATCATTACCATACAAGCGATCATAGGTGGTATCACCGAATCCTAATCCAGCCCAACGATTGCCAAGTAGTTTTAGTTAGGTGTTCCTACGCCAGAGGTTATGCAGCTTTTTTTTTTTTTTTTTTTGAATATGCATAGACTGCAAGCACACACACATCCATACTAACAGCACATATACACCCATATATATATATATACCAGTATACATACATAAATACATTTATACACAGATACACATACACATTTATACATTTTTTTTTTTAATTTTTACAAAACCGTGTAATAAAAACCGTTATAAAAATTTTTTTGTTTTTTCAAATACTAAATAAAAAATAAAATAAACCTGAAAATGTATACATACTAGCAATCTAAAATATAAAGCAATATACAATACGAACTCAAATAATAAATATTTATACATCTATTCATAGCTATCAGTTTCAGTACAATATCAATGTAACTACTATATATATAAGTATATACTTAGGTAAACTTAGTTTTAATAATAGGTAGACAAACCCATAACATTAGTAATATAGAAAAACGTTCTCCATAGAAAGAATTAGATTTTTAAGCTTAGTTTAATAGAAAAAGAGGAAGGTAGATCAAAATTTAGCAAAATAACTTTATTCCAAAGATTAGGTGCACAATAATCAATACAAAGCTGATTAAACTTGGTTCGACATAAAACTTGATTTAGCAAATTATTATTTCTCAGTGCATACTTATTGTCTGGTTTCAAAGTAAAAATATTTTTAAAAACGTCAGGAGATAAGTTATTTTTCCACATATATACAAGACATAGAGTATTATATAAATTCACTTCATAAATATTAAGTATTCTTATTTCGTGTAATAATGGTTTTGAATGAGTAAAACGATCGGAAAAATTAATAATACGAATTGCGTGTTTCTGACGAGAAAAAAGACATACAACTTATTCTTTCCAGCACTTCCCCAAACTTTTGTATATTTTTTCATTTTTGTAATTTTTTTTTTATATTTTTCGTAGAGTTTTTGTTTTTTCTTGGAAGATGCGACAAGGCTATGTGAAATCCATGGACTTTTTAAGTTTTTGAGATTTTTTAAAATGTTCAAAAGCTTTATTTGCGTTTTTGTAGTTAACAAGTTGTTCCCAGTTTATTACCGACAAGTGAAATATTTTAATACTATTTTTATTTATCTCCCTTTTTGCTATGCTTTTAATTTTGATATTCAGTTAGATTTTTCTTTGAATATAAAACTAGAGGTAAAGAAGATTGGGAAATAATCACTTAGGGGTTGTCTATAAAGTATGTCTATAAGAATTTTAATTTAATGAGTAACGTAATTCGGTTTGTTAATTAATGGTAATATACCATGTTGATAATAAATATTTATAAAACGTTTAACTTTGTTAACAGCATACTACTAGTTAGGTTGCTTTGGGTCAGCATACATGGTTCTTGCATGAGGTATGATTAATATATAGCTAACAGCTGACTAATTTTTGGCAAAGAATTTTATATTTGATATCAATATATTTCAATTCAAAATAATTAAATATTAAACACAAATATACAAAAATATATCTTTTTTTTTTTATATAATCACAGAAAATATTCTTAAATCATAATTTTTTTAATCAGTAAGGACATTGTTTACATTTAACACTTTTACAACCTCCTGTGGAATGTTCAAGTTTTAAATTGCAAAAGTCTTTTCAATAGCAGTTATTGAACGTGTTCTCGTCATCAGCCTGCATTAAATGTCATATGTATTTATTTGCAATGACATCTGTCTTGTCTTGCAACTTGTACTTGATTCATAAGCCTTAATGTATTTGATCAAGCTTTCTCATGACTACTCAGAGTACCTTGCAATAGGTGACCCATCTGTAATCACAAACAGTTTCCAGTCATGTGCGCACATTTGATGCACGCTGGGGCTAAGCATAGTCCATGGTAATGTCTGTTTTTGGAATATCATCAGGTCATAAGCAAATTCTTTAACTTTATTAGGATCAACTTTTTGTCTTCATCATCATGCTTATAAATACTTAAAAGTATTTTGAACTTAGATAACAAAGCAGAGAAGTTATCATGGTATTGTGTCTTACAAAATACAGAACAGATTTACTCCTCTAAAAAATATGTCCTTGGTTCATTGTTAGCGTCATTAACCACTGAAAAACAGAGGTAGTATGTGATGATAACGGAGATATTTAAGATATTTCTATTTTCATGGGTACATTTTAATGTTAAGTAAAGATGTTAAAAGTTAAGTAAAGATGTTAAAAATTGCATTTATTCAAGCCTGAAAGAAGAATACCCTAAAAAAAGTATAGTCTTAAGCACGGTCATAACTTTTAATCTTTTTTATGGTCATAACAAAAGATAATTAAATAAAGTTTGAATCTGTCAATGAATTTAAATTTAGTATAAAATTTTTAAAGGTATTTTTCTTCCCAGGCTCAAATCACTTATTTTCACTGATTATTTTTAGCATCACTATTTAAATAAGCTTGAACATTCTTAAATTTGGAGTTTTCACAATGCCTACAAGTATCATATCTGAAACATCAATAAATCCTGGATCGACCATTGCTTAGAATGCCAATCTTGTTTCGACAACTTAAATTCAAATTTAAGTTACTATGTCCCTAAGCAGAGAAATTTCTACTCATGAAATTAGACAATTGATACTTAATGAAACAATTGAGTTTATATGCGGGCATTAAAGGAATATTTTTTTTATATCGCTAAACTTCCAAATGAAAAAAAATATTATCATACAATTTAGAACTATTTTTTGTTTTCTTCAACTTTATAAAATCAAAATGGTATAAATTTCAAAAAATTTCTTAGCTTTGTTTAAAAATTGTAATCAAATATGAATTTTGAAGTCCAAAAAATGATTCTTTTTATACTTTGCAGAATATGAAAAAAAGTGTATATAGTACTGGGCACACTGCATATCATTATTATATTATCAGCAAATCATTTTAATTAGACTGTTGCGTATACTCTCTGAATAATTTGTAACAACTATAAATAAACATAAAACAATATTTTGGCGTGAATACGTAATTTTTTATCTCTAACCCAAGCTTTGTTTTGCTTTTACACCAGATGTGTACGCACTTTATGGGTCAATTCTAACAGGAAAACAGATTAAAAAATTTTTTTTAATGAATGTTAAAAAGAATTTATAGCATTTATAGAATTTATAGTAAATCTTTTGGTTATCTGTCACAACCTCGTTCATTTTCGCTTCGCTTAAAAAACGATTATGTAAGAAATTAGAAAAACAAAACAAAAACAAAACAATAAAACTGATAAAAAGTTCCAAAAATATGAAACAGTTACTTTTTTTTATATAAAATTTCATATAAACTTCATTTCAAAACCATAATTCTCAGAAAATTTCTAAATCCCATACATTTGTGAATATTTATTTAAATATAAAATAATTGTCATTTTATACCAGAAAATTTTGAAAATGCATTCATTTCTTTTACAACATATTTTGTATGATAGTGTAAACAAAAATGTACAAAGAAAAACTCTATAGTTAATTACACCCAGGAGTGTTAAATAAAAAAACCCGACAAAAAAGTCGGTCGATTACAGTTCGCCGAAACTGTATATACACACAAAAATTGTTACAAATAATAATAATAATAAAAAAAAACAAGCAATGGATGCAAATATAATAAAGCAATAAAAATTACATTAAGTAATTAATTTTTTAAGAATTGAGAAACTTAATAAGGATTTTCGGTTGCCGTTACTGCGGTTCAACGTAATTAGAAGGCAACATTCCCGTCTGACCTGTTCTTTTAACAGTACCGCTCATCCAGCCATCGTCGATGATTTCTCCGTTAATAATTATGTCGCCTTCTTGAAAAGAGACCTACAAACACATAAGAATTAAATTTTAAAGCTTAAAGCCTAATAAGAAGAGTAATTATCATTATTTAATTGTTCAAGAAAATTAGGAAAAAAATTAAAATTTTTTAAGAAAATTAAAAACAAACAAACAAATACAACACTAAAGAATTTATATGAAAATTTAAAGGTGCGATAATTATTTTTATATAATATCAATACACTAAATATCTTTCTAATTTAGTTAGTAGTCCTTATTTGCATTCAGAAACTAGGGGTAACCATTTTAAAATAAAATACTTTTATACAACTAGGTATTAAAGTTGCATGCAAGTGTGTGGAACAAGTTTTAAAAAATATAAGTTTTAAAAAACATACTAAAATTAATTTAATTTACAATTTATACCTCATCATCATCTGCAGCAGTGTAGTCATAAAGAGCAATATACTTTGGACCTCCTGAGGACGGTGGTGGTGCTGCAGGTTCTGACACTTTGCGACTGCTAGTGTTAGAGGCAGGTGGCCTACTTCCCTCTGAATCAACTTGTGCAGCCAAAGGTTCAACTATAAGTAAAAAAAAAAAAAGTTAAAAAAAAAAAAGAAAAAAAAAAGCTAACAAAAAATCACAAAAACTTTAAAAAAAAATAACCACGTGAAATTCACAATCAACTTCATTTGTAACAACTAAAAATTATTTTTATGGAACATTATGGCCTTATTATAGAGTATATTTAGTTTTTCTTTTTTTATATTTAGTTATATTTTTAAATTCCATCTCTTAATTCTCTTAATTTTCATCAAATTATAATTATTCTATATAAGTAAGTCTAAATTTGAATAAATTTGAACTTAGTTCCACTTAATTTAGTTTTAATGTAAGAAATTATTATTTTGTGCAATAAGTTATAAAAGATGTTATTTCCTTCACACAGGGTCTAATAGTTATCAGATGGATATTTTCGTTCCCAACCTCTACCTACTTTTTTTTAAGCATCCTCATTTAACACTACAGATGAACATACAAAGTTTGACATATGTATGAAAATTATAAAATTCTTGTTCTGCCTTTGCACAGGTGAGTAGAGTATTAGATGTGTACAAAAATGTACAGGTTATTATGTAGGTAGTACTTGAAATCTGCTTCTTAAAATTAATGACATCATAATGAAACAGTCATCTGTTAGGGTTTCAGTACATACATTAGTTGAGGTACAAGTACATACACCAGTTCGGGTAAAAGGTAATATCTAGAAATGAAAAACTCATTTCATTCAACGTTACAGTAGATACATCAATATGGGTACGAGGTACTATTTAGAAATGAAGAGTTAGGGCAACAAAAAAAATTAACTTTATTTCATTTTACTACTTCATTTTCTCTTTTGTCTGAAAAAAAATCTGAATTAAAAGCAACAATTTAAAAATTAAATTGTGTAAATTATATTAAGATAATGCCTCCAATTAAACATAATTTCACTGACTTTTGAATAGAAATTAACAGAAACGGTAATAGGTAAAATGCGAACTATGAACCAGTAAAATGCAAACTTTTTTGCGAACCATCGTCTTATTGGTTGTTACTGATGTATTGTTTTATTCCCGTTAAATAGTTAATTTAGCAGTATATTTTAAGGACTTTTAAGCGAAAAAATTAATTTAAAATAAATAAAAGGAAATTAAGTGAAACTAGAAAAATACAATATAAATTTTTTTTTTTAAATTATTTGATAGACTGTCTGCCCAAAGCAAACCCTCAGTCGATGTAGCAGCACTTTGTTGTGAGTCAGGCTATAAGATAGTCGATGTAGTCGATGTAGTTGTTGTGAGTCAGGCTATAAGATAGTCGATGCATTCTGTTGCGAGTCAGGCTATAAGATAGTCAATGTAGCAACACTCCGCACATGTTTTACAGTTGAAAAATAAAAAATTTATTTTCAATAAAACTTTAAAATAAATAATTAAGAATTGGAAAGTTTTTTATTATTTTTATCATAAAAATAATGGTCTTTAAAATATGTTTTGGTTCGCAAAAAAGTTCGCATTTTACCGGTTCGCAGTTCGCATTTTACCGACAACCAACAGAAACATGCCCAAATACTAAAAAATTCCCCTGAGTTTGCATTTAAATTTCACTTGGTTTTTTTTTATTGTTTTTGTGAGTAATATACTTAATAAATACAAGAGAGTCATTAACTTTATTAAATTTTATTATTAGATGTGTAAGTTGTCGTAAGTAGAATTCATTTTAGCTTAAATTGATTTTAAAATATTATATCCTGAATCCTAATTATGAGACTGTGATATAAACTTTTCACTTATCTAAATCTTTTCTTAACTTAGAATACAAAACTTAGAATACAAAGCCATAAAAATGTAACAAATATAAAATATTAATCAATATAAGAAAAATACAAAATTACTAAAAATATTATCAATATAAAATCCTTATGTGTTTTTTAATCAACCATTCTGCAGTTTTATTTTTGATTTATACTTAACTTTATTCATTTTGATTACTTTTATCAACTTTTAAAAAATTAACAGAAAAAATGGCAGTTGTTACTGAAACCATGATAGATGTTAATAAAGATGCAGTTAACAAAAGCAATGGTTAATTACATACTGATATACACATATTGTATAAATAACACTGCTCAAGTGTTTATCTATAACAGAATCAACAAACATTCATTAAAAAAAAAAATACTGCAGCCTCTCTCATCATTTCACCTTGCGCTAAAAGAACTGCTGTGAAATTTAAACTTATTGTTGGATTATTGTTGTGCAATCTGCACAATTGTGTTTTACTTTAAAATGAAAATATTTTTAAATTTGAATAAAACTCATCAGGATATAAGTGGATTTATCAAAAACAATCTACCTGATTTATAAGTGTTGAGTTTCAGATGGTAGTACAGCATAATTTATAAACTTATAATTTACTTCATCTTGTCGTCAAAAGGAAAACTTTGATCTAAATGATGAATAGACATATTTTTGTAACCATGGTGAATCCCCATGTGATGGTATTGGTTGAATTGTTAAACGCTTTGTGTCACAAGAAAGTCTAAAACAAACAACTAATGGTAAGATTTTAGATGTCATAAAAATGTTTTTATTTTATTTGTAAAGAGAAAAAAAAAAATGGAACCAGGTACAAGAGAAGATTTCTATGAAGAAAAGTTCTCAAGACAAGAATGTACAATTAAAAAAAGTTTAATTAGTTACCAATGATAATCAAACAACTCAAAAATAAATATATTTCAATACTTAATAATTGGCAATAAAATTACACAACAGCCAATAAATATTGTAACTTTCATAATAATGACTACTTCAAAATCAATAATTAACTAGACCACATAAAACAATTGACTACTTCACATGCAACAGTGCACTATCCCGAAAATGGTTAAAAAACATGGATAGTGTTTTGGCATGGAGCAACAAAAAATATCTTGACATATGCACCTGACTCGACAAACTGTAAATAAATAGAGACTTAATACTTGATGCCTAATTTTAAAATTTGCTCCAAAGGAACTTTTAAATATTTATACAAGATAGTAACTCCAAATACTATCCTAATAACCAACAATAAATTTTGCTTCAATGTAAAAAGTAGAAATTGAGTAAAAAGCTAAGTAAAAACCAAATCTATATTGATAAACTGACAAGGTGAAGAGATCACAGATTGTTTGTTAGATTTTATGTGTTTATATACACAATATTTAAAAGAATATTAGCAAATTTTTGAAAACCAAGTTGCAATTTGATTATTTTAAATGATTGATTTAATGACTTGAACTAACATTGTACACATGAGAATTCGTCACCACAAGCTCTATCTTTGTCACAAACTATTATATATAAATCATTAATTATAAAAATGTCAACTAATTGTCTTTAAAAATAAAAATAACTATTATTTTTTGTATTTTGTGGGGCTCATATATTATGAATAAAAAATAAATAAAACAAACCTTCAACTATTTTTATTAAATTATAAATTTCATCAAGGTGATATTTAAGTGTGTTAGATGAACACATAAATATCACCTTGCAGTTTATTTTGACTAAATATGAAATCAATCACTTGCATTTTTTTATATAGTATTTGTTACTTCATAAAAAAGAAAAGGCTACAGCACTCGTTGTGCTGTTTGTACTTTTTATTGCATTTTTTAATAAATAATATTTAATTTTATGTATTTTTTTAAAATTAAAACAAAATAAATATATTTTAAAAAATAACGATGCACTATTAAATAGTGCATCGTACACACAAAATAGTGACTATTTTGTTGTATTACTTTAAATTAGTCTATGTATTTGTAACTTGTTATACTTAAGTATAGTTTATTTTTCTTACAATAAAAAAAAAGTATTAACTTACTTCGTTGTTGATACTTCACAGAACTTGCTTGATTTTGAGTTTTTTTAACTCTAGTGGTTTCTGGATCATCTGCTACAGCAGTGTACTTCCCCTTTTCCTGCTCAAACTCTTTGTGATAAACGATTGTACTTTGATTTGTTGTATTTTTTTTTATTCTTAAATTTTCAGGAGTATCGGCAACTGCAGTAAATTTTGTTGAAGGATAATGCGTGTTACAATAAGGTAATTTTTCATAGCCTTGGTAAGTTTTCATGCTCAAAGTCATGTGGCACACTTCGCAATTAAAACAACCTTTGTGCCATATTTTATCTAAGCAATTTAATTTTTCTACAGGATAAACTGTTTTCTCACATCTATAGCACTTCGGATTCATTTTTTGAAGGCGTTACCTGAAAAATGTTGAAGAAATTATAAAATTCAGGATAAACAGAGATCTTTTCGCCAACTCCCAGTGCTAAAATAACTTTCATAACCACAAAATAGGAGTTTTAAACTAGACCCAGACTTTTAACTGTTTTTATGGAGGAGAGTTGATTAATCTTTTATGAAAACTGATGGTTTATAAAAGTCTGAATTATTTTAAATAATTTTTAATAAATTTAATTTGTAAAGAATTTTTTTTAATTTCAATTATTTTTCGAAGCTATTTAAATATTGTCTAAAGCGAACGCCTAATTTAGGGGTCAGCGGCATATACATTTAAACGGACCTAAATAGACTAAATGAAACGTTACGAAAATTATATTTTTTAAATAAAATAAATATTTAGTGATAATACTTATATTTAGTTAATAAATACATTTTTAATAAACTATTTACATTATTCAATAAATTATACAAGTTTGAAGCATTAATCTAAATAAGTATATAAAGAGGCTTCTTATATTAGAAAAATTGCTTTTATAACATCTTCACAAATATTACCTCAAGTCATTAAATTTATTAAAAAAAAAAATAAAAAATGGGCAAATAATCACTATGATAGAAATTCATATCAGTCTAATTAGATATAACAAAAAAATATCATTCTAATTAGATGGTAAGAAGGATAAAAAAAATGAATAGTTCGGGAAAATATCTAATTTCTTAAAAAAAATAAAATAAATGAAAAATAAATAGATAACATTTGATAAGTTCCAAGTATATTCATGGCAAATAAAAACACATAAAATAGTTGTAATGCCGTTTTAGAAATCAATATTTTTATATAGGCTGCGACAAATTATTAAATTGGATTTATAAGATGTATGGCAATTATTTGTATGTAAATTTAAATTGCTTCTATTGTGTTTTTAGTAATTCATATTAAAAAATTTATTGTTTGGATTAACAAAACAACAACTATAACAAAAAAAACAACCATTTTTCATCATTTGGATTAATTTCTCCGACCAAGAGTGATGATGCTGTTGACGCTGAAAGTATTTTTTATTCTTTTTTTTTTTAATTAAATACCGCGTATAACCAAAATATTAACGAAAACGGGTTTATATATATATATATATATATATATATATATATATATATATATATATATATATATATATATATATATATATATATATATATATATATATATATATATATATATATATATATATATATATATATATATATATATATATATATATATATATATATATATATATATATATATATATATATATATATATATAGTTACCCGTCTTTAGATAATTTTGAGTGCAATCAAAACTTGATAACGTAAATTTGCCTTTTTTTAATGTGGTAGCCCTATAAAAAAAAAGGTGATTTTGAGAAATAAAAGGAAATCTACCATATTTAAGAGTTTATGAAGTTTATTGGAGAGATTAAATTAATTAAAAAAAAGAAATTAAATTTGGTTAATCCATATGTAATTTTTCAAGTTTCAATTCGGAAAATTTCAAAGCAAATACTTAATCCAATATCAAGTTATCATGTTTTAAGTTTTCAAGAAATCCTCAAAATGCGAAGCTGAGAAAAAAATAAAAGAAAGTTTAAAAAGTAAAAATCTCAACTAATAAATTTTTTAAATCCTAATAATTTCCTTTAGCATAAGATTCTATGGGTTCTTTTTCTTTTAAAATGTCACAGTTACCTTTTTGTTTTGCTCTGATAAATATTCTTCGCTTTTTTACATTGTAGCTTTTTTGGTTACGCAGTAGCTTTTTTGGTTATGCGTTTTACACGTCATATATTCAGTCTTTTTTTGTAATTTGGTGCAAAACTATTGCTGTCAATCTAAAATATTCTAATATGCCAAGGATTCCATTTCTGTAATTGTTAAAATGTATTTCAGTTGAATAGGTACCTATTTCTATGGGTTTTTCCAACAAATATATATTTTGATACACGAGACCATATGATTGCATGCAAAGTCTCGTTCGCATTTCATTTTTTGTCATGCATCCACTTTTCGAATAGTTCATTATCAATTTAAGCTTTAATGGTTAGAAAGATGAGATTTTTTATCCACACAGGAAGTTAATTTAGTGACCTATATGTCTTATTTCATTTTCATCAATATTTGCACCAATTTCCAGCATTACGTGGGCAAAACTTATGACAATCGAAAGTATCTGATAGGTCAGTGAATAGTCTAAAAAGTTATCAAAACTGACAAAAAAGGTAACGGAGGTGATTTAATTTTTTCGGGAATGAAAGTAATGGTATACAATATGCTGTTATGATAATTAAAAAAAATTTCCAAAAGAATTTTTATATAATTATTTTTTCTAGGACTACCACCTTAACAAGTCTAAAGATTTTTTCACAAGATTTTTTTGAATTTAATTTTTTATATAGCTGACAATTGAATTCTTCAAAAAAAATTATTAGCAATCTTTAAAGATCTTGTTTCAATAACTATTTTTTGCTGAGATCTTTACTTTTAAATTGATTTTAATTAGTTATAAGTTATAAATTACTTATAATTATATGAGTTTGAGTTTGAGTTTATTTATTTCTGAAATCAATTATATAATACATTTATATATTTTGATGAGAAAGTGCTACACCAGGCACTTCCATGCTGAAAGAAGACACTCGTGTGTCCGATCATTCGTCTTTTACGAATTTCAATTTATGAACACTAACCTTGAACAAGTTGACTGATTCAGCTCTAATAGCGTTTAAAGGTAGCGTATTCCAAACATTCACGATGCGATTAGTGAAGAAATTAAATGTTTCTTGACAGTTTTTTACCCTTTGGTGTTCGAGTCGAAGATAATGTCCACGTAAATTATATTTGTAAATCGATGGTGCCTAGACTTAAGGGTTATCAAAAATAATTTGATCAATACCTTTTGAAATTTTAAACTGTTGAATCAGATCACCTTGAACTCTCCTTTCTTTAAGAGTAGTTAAGCCGATATATATATATATATATATATATATATATATATATATATATATATATATATATATATATATATATATATATATAATATATATATATATATATATATATATATATATATATATATATATATATATATATATATATATATATATATATATATATATATAAATATATATATATATATATATATATATGTAATTGAGGTTTGAGGTTCGACGCCTGCTCTAGCCCAATAAGCGACATTGGTAAGGAAGGAGGTGTAAACTTCTAGTTGAATGCTCTCCCGTGGTGCTCTGTGATAAGACCGTAAGGACTTATGGGAGACCTAAATAACCTAAAAAAATAATAAAACATCAATAACAGCATCGTACTAACTAATTTTTCTATTTCTGTTTTGCAGTCAATATTGTATAGATCATTTTCAGACGTAAAATAAAATTTGATTTTAATATTTTTAGTTGTCTTCCAGTGACGGATCCAGGATGTGGGAAGGGGAGGGGGGATGATGGGGTATGCATCTCCTTGCCCCCCCCCCCCCCGAATCTGAAAGTCCAAAAATATCTTACAAATGGAGGATTTTTTTTTTCGTTTAGGAGATGCAAATGTGATACAAAATATAAAAAAAATTTAAAGCCCCTTGCCCAGCTCCCTCATACCAAAAATTCCTGGATCCGTCACTGTCGTTTTCTAATTCCAGCAAGTGGATTTTCTTCAAAAAGATTTCTTAACTAACTTTTATGATTAATTGAAACGCAAAAATTAAACTGATAATTGTTCAGTTCGCATTAATTAAATTAAACGCATTAAAAATGAATTAAATCAGTTGCGTTAATTAAGTTAATTGCATTAAAATAAAATTAGATTGATGAGTAAATTGATTCCCGACGAAATTTTGAAAATGATTTTCGCAAAGGTGAGTTTCCACTCATCCATTTTTCTACGAGAACGGGAAAAATAATCACGTGAGCATGCGTAGTATAAGTTTTAACTTGTCCGAGGGATAACTAAGCATGCTCACGCGATTAATTTACCCTTCCCTTTTCCCTTTCCCGTAGGAAAAATGTATGGAGTGGAAACTCACCTTTACTCGCTACGAGATAATTTGTACAAACAAAATTTGTTTAACCGAATTTAATTTATTTAAAGGTGAGTTTCCACTCATCCGTTTTTTCACGGGAACAAATTAAGAAAAAGGAAAAATAATCACGTGAACATGCGTAGTTTTCCTTAGGACATATTAAAACTTATAAAATGCATGCCCACGTGATTATTTTTCCCTTCCCTTTCCCATTCCCGTGAAAAAACGGATGAGTGGAAACTCACCTTAACCAAAAGCTGGATAACTGCAAAAGATTTAAATAATAACTTTAGTTTTAGTCTTTTTATATTTTAATTAATTTTTTAAAAGAAAATAATAAATAAACGCGGTGACGGAGTTCTTATTTACGCGAAGAAAAATATTGCTCATTATATTAGGAATGGTTTTAGTTTCTTTGCAAGCGACAACAAAATTTTAACTATTTTAAATTCCAAACAATCCATCAAAAAACATTTTACTAAGCTGTTGCTATAGGCCACCGAAAAGCGTGACCAAGAACATGAGTATGTATTTTGAACAAAGCTTTATAAAAAAGGTCCAAAAAAATGAAAAAGAGTTTTAGAAATCTGACCATTTTCTCATCTTTTTTTACCATATACTTTAACTCTAAAAATGTGACTAAATCAAATATGACTAAATCAAAAATAAAAATTAGTTCACACATCTATGAGCAAAAAAAGCAATTTAAAACACACTTATCATAACTGCATTGGAAGAACATTGACTTTAATGATAACGCAAACAACATTTGCAATAACTTTTTTTTTAATTTTACTTAGTTTATGATGCAAATTTTCTATTTAATTCTTTATTAAAATTGGCCCTAAACTATCTAAAGTAATTTCTAATACCAAAGCTTCATTTAAAGATTCTTTAGAATCGTTGGATAATTGCATTCACTCAGATCTGCTGAGTCATTATTTAATAAGATTGAAAAAGCCTTCAAAACAATAAAGCAAAGCAGTTGAACCTTTTGAAACAAATGGTAACAAAATTATAGAATGCTTTGAA